GAGGCAAGTGCAGTAGGACGGGGACAAGCTCAGGGATTCCTCTGACAAGTGGCGCGCCTTGGGAAGAGCAAGAGGGCGGTCAACAAGAGATGTAAGAGAGAATGGGCAGCACGCTTGAGACGCGCATGACAATCAGATAGAGTGGGGCGAGAGGGTCAACGGCAAGAAAAGGAAAGAGACGAGAACTAAATGCTTGTGCGGTGATGCTCACGTCAACTGAACTGCAGTGTGTGACTAGCCAGTGAGGAGAGGATGTACTGAGATAGGCTGTGCTGATGGTGCGTGTAAGGTAGAGAGTTTACAGTCACGTGAGAAGGAGGGCAGAGGAGAGGGAGACTTGACGGATGAGCTTACGCAGCGCTGCTGATGTCAGCGTGCGTGCATGGTTCTGGGACGTACTGTTGATATCAACACATGTGCATGTTACGGGACTCATTTCTTGGGGAGAAAAGGGTCCATTTCGCTTGCGCCTAAACCTGTTAGCAGGGGAAACCTTGGTGACATGATAGTGGGGTTTCGAGGATGAGAACGCATAGGAAAGAGGAGTGCAGTTAATTTGGGCAGCTAAGTGACCTGAGTCTTGTGTTACGGGAATGTGTATGTCGTGTTAGAATTACGTGTTTGGCGAGTGTGAGCAGCTGTTGTTTCACAACGAGGATGAAGGTAGAACATCAGACTTTTTTTCGTGGCATGTCTTCTCGACTGAGTAAAGGATGGTAAAGGTACCGATTGAGAGGAGAAGGAGATAAGTATTAAGACTGCACCGGTTATCGAGCCCTAAGGTTGGGTTGGATAGTCTGACCATTCTTCTTCTTCTTTTTGACTTCCCAGGCTAGTTTTCGATGAAACTATCACGATCGAGGCTCCGGTTTGCTGGACTCAGATTGACGGGCCAGGGAATGTAGTCTAGAACGCGAGCGTCCTTATCAGTGGGGCATCAAACTTATCCGAGTTGGGAGGTGCTTGATTGATCCGACAGTTCCAACTTACTGCATACTATAATCAGACCAGTCAATAGCTGCTCCTGCAGACAGAAGTAAGACTATACAACTTTGGCGGAATAATCGGAACCAACAGTCAGTATGGAGAGGAGCAAGACTGCACAGATAAGGAAATTGGGTTTCCTCTTGCTGCTGTGTCTTTTGTTTCCCCTTTTAGCCCGTCTGTCCGTTGTTGAGCATTGATGTCAGAACCCTGTGCGCGAAATTGCGTGAGTGTGACTCTATCGACTCATTACCTTATTAAAGTCACTCGATGAGTATCAGTTCTGACATGGTATGACTCTGGTTTGACTAAGGGAAACATTGTTCACTGTGAACCGAACGAATGAAAACTCTGTACGATAAAGTATGACGGACGTGGTTGATGGGGAAGAGGGGAGTAATATTGAAAAGAATTGCTTACATCCTTATTAAGCTCCTTCTTGATGGTGACTGATCGGTTCTATTTAATTAACCTAACCTGCTGGTCATTCAAGTAACTATGCATAAATACACGCTTATTATTATGCGAAGACTCTCTTTTTCTTGAACAGCGTCAAGGAAGGGACAGGAAGGGTCAGGGCCTTGATAGCTGAACAGACGGCCTGTTATATAGCAGGTGTCCTGTCATGAGCATACAAGTATTTTCTTGAGCCAAATCACAGGGTACTTCACGTTTAGTGACTTTCGGTCTTCTAACATATATTGTGCGAAGGCTACAAGTTGACTTGCCAACATTTCGTGCAGAACCGACTAGCGACTAAGAGTACGGACTCTAAAGTTAACAATCAGTATTGCTCGCAACTTCTACAAAAGGGAAACGTCGATTGGTGCCATTATAAAATTATTAGTCGTGTCTGGTGAAAAGGTTCTTTGTAAATGTTCATGCTTACCGAGACTGGTCTGGGGATGTTTGAATAACGGCTTCACCATTACCTACTTTCCCTTACCCGACTAACCGTTCAAACCCTGTCCGACACTCAACGTGCCAGCGCGCACATGGCTGGTATTCAGCGTGGCTCAGCTATGAGAGTCTAAACTGCTGACAGTTTAGAGGAAAAAAAAAAAAAACTAACGGGGAACTAACTACGATAAGAACTGTTGTTGACACTATATTGGAATGAACAGCGAATGTTTGCTTCTGGGTTCAAAGAGTTGATGATTGACGTTGCCTGACATTAATGT